TTTTTCAAAATGTTTGTCAAAAAGGGAGCATGGGAAATAGAACAGTAACCAGAGTAGATGTGGGAATCTTTTTCTTTGTTTATATAAAAGATGCAAAAGCATATACATATCCTGGTGGGAGTGATTTGAACCATAAGGGAAACTTTTATTCAGGAAGGATTATTATAGCAAAAGCTTGTAGAAATAGCAGAGTAAGGATTCAGTGTATAAGTAGAGGTCAGTTTTTGGTAGAACAAGGACATGGAATTCTAGTGTAAGGGAAGGCAGTGTGTAATGTGCATATGTTAGTAGATTGGTAGTAGAAAGGTAAAGATGTTGCTTTGTGAGTAGTTTGATTTTACCAGAGAATTCAGTATGGGAATAGAAAGGGCCATATACAGGTTAAAGAGAAATAGGTAGCTGGAGATTTAAAGACAATACATTATACATATATATTATAATATATATAGAGAGAGAGACAGAGAGAGAGAGAGAGAAAGTAATGGATGGGCATTCAGTAATGAACAAACATTTGTGTGTGACTAATATATGAGAAAACTAATAAATCCAAAGACATCTTCATTCTTTAGTATTTACAGCACTTAATAAACAAGCTGAAACTGCTTTTGAAAGACACTGACTAGAGTCCTCCTTTTTCATATGGTACAGATTACTATTCAAGTTTTCTCTTGAAGATTCCTCAATGCCATAGATACTTCTCACATTTTCTTAGTTGTTGTTGTCTATTACTATGTAAATGGCTGGAGCATTTTATAGCTATTCTTTTATAATTCAAAGGCTAAGAAAATTAAAATGATTTGAACACATAAAATACATATTGTGTACTTAATTGGATAGTTCTCTCAAATACTATTTTGGAGGGTTTGAGCTGCCATCTAAATTTAACAAAAATACATACAGGTACTAATGTTTAAGAAAAAATCATTTTGTTTTGTTTCTATGTAAAAAATCAATGCAGAGGCTGGGAAGGTGGCTCAAGTGTTAGAGCACTAGCCTTGAGCTGAAGAGCTGAGGGACAGCGCCCAAGCCCAGAGTTCAGGCCCCACAACTGGACCCCCCCAAAAAAAATCAATGCATTCTGACATTTAGGAGAAATACATCACATAAAAAATGTAGTTTTGTTCATTGTACCCTTCTTTATCCTAACAAAAAATATGTGCTATTTTAATAGTACTTGGTGTTTGACCTTTAGACTGGCTGCATGGTATTTAATATGATGGAATTTAAAAATAAATATGTATCATTTGGGCTTGATTGGAAATTAGATTATCAATTATGAGATAAGATTGCTTTCCAAATTTTGCTGTTCTATCATAACACAAAATGGAAAGATATATATATATATATATATATATATATATGTGATTGTATTTGCTTAGATACTTTAGACATTTAAATGGCTATTTCAAATTTAAATGGCAGATGATTTCAACAGTTGCACTGCATTTAAATCATACTTATAAAAATCTTTGTAACACAAATTCCAAAAAGTTTAATACTAAACAGATTTCTATAAACTACCTAGATAACCTTTAACTTTAATTAATCCCTCACAGGGCTGGGAAGGTGGTACAGTGGTAGAGTGCTTGCCTTGCATGCATGAGGCCCTGGGTTCATTTCCTCAGCACCACATAAGCAGAAAAACCCGGAAATGGCACTGTGGCTCAAAGTGGTAGAGCACTAGCCTTGAGCTGAAGAGCTGAGGGACAGTGCCCAGGCCCAGAGTTCAGGCCCCATGACTAACAAAAAAAAAAAAATCCCTCACAGATCCATATTTGACTTAATAAAAACTGATGCTGAGAACATTTTCCTTCATGTAAGTCATTTTTTAAGTATCTTTTAAAATTGACATGAGGCTATTCATCACTAATTTGAGATTTATTACTATACCCACCTTCTCTGAGATCTTTTTGTGAAGATAAGGAAATGCGCACTATATTAATTTTCCAATTTTATATTATATTACCTTTAAGAACTTCAACATATGCCTTCCACTCAAGTTCTTAGCCAATGTTCTCTTTCTGGTTCTCACCACCATATGGTAGAGATTAATACAATAAAAAGATGTTAATTGACCTGAAATCCTACTTTATCTACTGTCCCGTGACAGTAAGGTAGTGCAAACTTAATTTGAAAGTGATTTTATTTTTTTTATAAAAACCTACAATACTATGATACTCTATGTAAATTTTCCTGTGCTGGCATGCTTACAAGTTAATAGTGTTGTAGATGCTGTCAACATGAAGGATTGTTTATGGTGAACTGCATTACATATGTAATCTATTTGCTGAAAGAATATGGCACTTAGCAAAACAACCTGCTGAGTGATATAATAAGATTTTTGTACAAGGTACAAATTATTAATTAATGTATTTTATTTTTCTATGATTTCCTATGAACCATTATCAGGGTCTAACAGATGGAGCAAGCCCATTTATTACAATATCTAATAGCAAATAAAAGTTAAGTTTGGGTGGCTGAATTTGTGATGTTTTACACTTTTATTAATGTATATACATAATGTAATTTGTTTTTAGTTTATTAAATCTAGTTATTCTTTATAATGTTAATAATTCGAGATATGAAATGTTCTTGTCATTTTTCAAAATAAAAACATTAAAGTCTAGACATAAAGTCACATAAATCAGTATAAATAACTAGCACATATTTTTATAGAGATTTTATGGTGACAAAATATTTTATCAGTCAACTGAATGCAATTATTCATTGCACATATTTCCTTATGCACAAACTACAGATAATAAAATGACATACATAACATCCAAATGATCAAATGAATATTTGTGTTATTGGTGTTCACAGCAAAACTTCAAATAATTATATATCAAGTATTTCTATATTTTGAAACATTTATAATAGAGAAGTACATTAAAAGTATCCTGAACAAATCAGAATAATTCTGTAGTGTATCTATAAACATAATACATTCTTAGTTTTATAAAATTATAATCCACTATGAAATCAAAACTTCTAAGAATGTACCTAAAACTCTTCTACCACACATGCATCTTAGAAAAACAGCTCCCATTTTCAAAGCTTGTTTAAAATTGAGACTTAAAGTTATTTCTTAACTAGAGTAGGATAATTAATTCTATGCTGAAGTTCTGAGTGTACTCAAGTGTAGTTACAATTGGCAAAACATCAAAACAGCAGGTCCAACCATTCAAAATGTATATTTAAAAATTTTAATTTTCAATATTTTCTAGATTGTTGAGTAGGTTTTCTTTTTGTTTCATAACTAGTTCTCTAATAATAATAGGATATCACATTAACTGAACCTATTCAAGATGATTATTGGTTTACATTTTGTTTGTTTTTTGCTAAACTTATCTCTAAATTTATCTCTACCTGAGTTAACAGAAAATTAGGATGTTTATTTCCAGTTTTTTCCCAAACTTATTACCTTAAGATTCCTGTTATTTTTAAGAGAAGCATTGTAGTATTATGGTGAATTGGATTCCATCTCTTATCTAAATGAGTCTCACTTTTGGACAAATAGAAAAGTGAACAAGATTTCCTTGTACATGCTTTTAGGGACTGTATGAATCTAATCTATGTAATAGTATGTTTCAACAAAAGTACAAAGAATAATAGGACATTTACTGAACACCTACTTCTGCCAAACATTTTAATTGTGAAAATACCATACAAAGGGGTTACAATTACATGGGCAAGTTATGAGTACATTTCTTATCAAGCATTATTGCCTCCTCCTTTGTTCCCCCTTCCCTGCCAAACATTTATATTTCCATTATCTTACTAAGCTTCTAAAGTCACCAGACAAGATAAACCACATTCTTCTGAAAGGAAGAAGCTGAGAAGATAAAGTATAGAAAAGATTTAGTTGTCCTAAGGCCACATAGTAAAACCCAATAGAGCTACACAATCCATTTTTATGAGGACATTTGTCAACACTTTGAGGTATGCAAATATAAGGGTTATGTTTATCCCTTTTTTCTCCTAGTTGTATACTGAAGTATGGGTTTCTGTGAGTCTTTTTCTCTGATGTGAGTGATGGGAATCTGCTTTGTTCTCACAACTCCATACTGCTCCCATTGCCCATTGACTGGCCTTATCCGAAATGCAGGATGGATGGGCCTTATCTGACAAAGCAGTATGAGACATCAGGAGGATACCCCTACCATAAAACCTGCCAAGCAGGCCCTTCTGCCACCCCACCAAAAAAAAAAGTCTCTTAATCTTAAGTACAGATCTGTCAAGTGGATAAAATATGGGGCAAATCATATTTTCAATGCTCATTTGTCTCTGTTACTATAAAACCCAAGTTAAATTTAAGAAGGTGGTCAACTTTAGCAATATTAATTCCTTTTCTGCTCACCAGTCCATTTGATTCTGGGCAGATGGGGAAGGGCAACCTAATCACAACAGATTAGGCCTGGTAGAAATATTTCTGCAGGACCAGACAGCTAGGAAGGACATGGGCCTATTCCCCTTGCCACATACTGTCTTGGGAAACTTTTCCCACCTAGGCTTTTTGTTTGTTCTCGACTAACCTTATGATCTTTTACAACTCTGTATCCGTACCTATAAGAACAGACTTGTTTCTCAAAGACTGAAGGTCAGAGGCCTAGCAGGGTTCCAGGGAAAGTAGGTAGGACAGGCGGAGGAGGGGGGGTAAGGGGCTGGGGGGGGGGGAGCAACCTTGGTCACATCTTGCCCCTGGGGCACAGCTGTATCCTGTAGTCGTGGTTGCGCACCACATTGCCCCTAACAACACAGAGATGAAGTGTTTGGGGAGCTACCAAGCCTCTGGAGGCCTCAGGGCATCTAAAGGAAGATTGGCGTCTTGGGGAGATGCTGGCATCTAAGGCAAAAAGAGAAGCGCTACCCAGCCGGCTGTGCGCGCGCCTACAACTCCCATCATGCCCCACGGTGAGCACACTCGCCGGAAATTGGGCGCTCAAGTGGCTGCTCCTCAGCGCTCACACTTCCTGTGATGGTGTTTCCTTGCGGAGATTCTGGGCCTTTCGTTCCCTCCCACTTCAGAGCTCTTTTAATCCCAAGAATCAAAAACACTGTGGCGGAAACTCTGCAATCTTATCGAGAAGGCGTGGCCTCGGACCGGAAGAAGCCTCCGTTGCCATGGGAACGCCGCGCGCGCCCGGGCGCCCGCTCCGCCCCTGATGCTCCGGAGCTGAGGCGAAGCTGTGGGTTCCTCACCGAGTGCGCCGGGGGCTTTTCGGGGAGCAGCGGGTCCTTCTCTTCAAAGGCCCAGGGAAAAAGACTCCCCGGAAACCCATCCCAGAGCCGGCGCCGAGTGGGTGCGTCGTCCCGGCTGCTCGCCAGTGCCTGGGCCTCTGGACCGGCCTTGGAGATCAGGTAGCTCCCTGGTTCTCAGGACCTCTGGCACTGTCTTCCTGTCGGGTTCACCGTCCCTCCCGGCTTTTTGCCCCACTTCTTCACTCAAGAGGTGGGCTGGGGAAGGAGAACTGGGCTAGGTGCTGGGCGTATGAAGGACTCTAGATCACACGTTGAACTGGGATGGGCAAGTGTGTCGGATGGGTTTTAACACCTGCCTGACTTGGAGCTAAATAGGAGGTGTCGAACATAGAACTGAACCTTCATGATCAAAGACCAAGAACTAAGAAAGAACGAATTTGTGTTTTGAAACCGCAACAGGTCACTCAGCTAACGTTTGAAGTTTACCAAGTACCACTCGGGGGTTAACTGCCGTTTACTTTCCAAGGTATTGACTGTGAATGACATGTTAGCGCTACAGGGTTTTGCCGTCAGCATATTACCATGTAGGAATCTGATTCTGAGAGAACAGCCCGGGAAGAATTTAACTGGTGTGTATAGAGAGGGGAGCGGTGCGTGCATACATACAGTGACTGCATGAACACTGCTGCCATAGGAAAAACAGAGAGGCTAAGCAACCAGAAAAGTAATGCATTTAAAGACTAGAGGAGTAAAAAGTCTCGTTCACTATTGATAAGTATTGATAGAAATTTCTGAGGAAGGAGTCCACAATTTGTAATACACCGAACAGTTGCACTGCTTGAAATATATTGATAAAGGGATTAGATTAAAGAGGATGATGACATCAGTCTTGTTCCAGTGTGTATTATAAACGTTTAATAAATATATTTGTTTTGCTTTGCTGTTATTGAAAAGGCAGCTATGCATGGATTTTATTTTTCAAACTAGTAGCTCTCCATAATGACTGCATATCACTTCTTCGTAAAGATTTAGCTAGTGGTTTAAATGTTGTAGCAAAAACAAATCACACTTTGGTCCTGTATTTCTGTTTTAGCTTATATTTTCTGAGCTTTCAGCATCAGGCTGCATGGGAAACCCATCGCCTGTGTTTTGTTCCAGATTTCCCAGGAAACTTATAACCTAATTTTTAAATACTTGAAAATATTATAGTTGACAGAGAGAGACTGACCACAGTTTCTTCTTAAATATTACAAATTATTGTGAGAAATGTGGTTATCTCAAGAGCATTATTCTGTTGCCAGGGGTTATAAGCTGCCAATCTGTATTTCAGTTAAGGCTCCTTTCTTATAATCAGCTTATGCTCTCTTTACTAAGTATAAAGTACATTGACATGGTTTCTACACTGTCCTTGTGTGTCTTTATTAAAATTTTATGCACATACCATACATACTGTGCCTTTAGATAATATTTCCTTTTTCTTGCAGTGCTTTGAAAATATTTGAATCACATTATGGGATTGCTAGATAGACTTTCAGAATTTCTTGGCCTGAGGAAGAAGGAGGTTCACGTCTTATGCCTTGGTCTCGATAATAGTGGGAAAACAACAATCATTAATAAACTTAAACCTTCAAATGTAAGTATCCATATTTGATACATGTGTGTTATTGGACATTATAATTTCATATAAATAAATATATGAGCATATTGTTAAGTGATGTTAATCTTACAGTACTTAATAAATGTCGATGAACCATCATTTGTAGTATGGTTTTTGGAGTTTTTGAGTAAATCTTGATTTTTTTTTTCTTCAAGATTACACCAATATTCCAAGCTTACTTTCAGGCTGCACTGTCATTTTTTTTTAACTTTTTCTCTTCAAGGGAGGAATAATCAAATGAAAATGTAAATTATCTTTACAGTTTCTGTAGAAAATTAGCTATGTTTCCCCCAAAAGTGTCATGTGCATATCAGTAGTAGGTAGGTTAATTTTAAGTAATATATGGATATATTATTTTAACTGAAAAATATGTAAAGTTAGTACATTCGATTTCAGTACATGATGTGTATGTCAGAGAAAGGTACATAAAGTCACCAGTCCATTCCTAATTTCTGATACCACTTTCTAAATCTCATTCTTTTTTATTTGGTTTTGATGATACTGAGGTTTGAACCCAGGATCTTTTTTTTTTTTCTTTCGGTTGTGGGGCCTGGACTCTGGGCCTGGGCACTGTCCCTCAGCTCTTCAGCTCAAGGCTAACGCTCTACCACTTGAGCCACAGTGCCATTTCCGGGTTTTTCTGCTTATGTGGTGCTGAGGAAATGAACCCAGGGCCTCATGCATGCAAGGCAAGCACTCTACCACTGTGCTACCTTCCCAGCCCTGAACCCAGGATCTTTGAGGCAGGTACTTTACCACTTGAGCCACCTCTGATCCCCTTTCCCAATGCTTTTTTTGTTTTGGTTATTTTTGAGATAGGGTGTCATATTTTTGCTTTGACCAGCCTGGGTCATCATCCTCCTATTTATACTTCTTCCATAGCTGGGATAACAGGTTCATGCTACCACACTCAGCTATTTATTGATTTCAGTGGGTTCTCATGAAGATTTTACTCAGACTGGCCTCTTACCTTCTACATCTCATATGAATGTATTCTTTTTTGTATGTGTATAGATAAAGTCGGTTTCTATATAACTAAATATTTCCTAGTTCTAAACTGATTTTTAATATTAAACTTTCTTAATGTTTCTTCATTGTTAATTTACTAAGGTTACTGGAATTTTCTAAACTGATGCATATTATATGTTGGGAAAGTCTTTAAAAGTTATCTTTAAATAGCTGTACAAGCTGGGTGCCAGTGGCTCACGCTTGTAATCCTAGCTACTCAGGAGGCTGAGATCTGAGGATCCAAGTTCAAAGCCAGCCCAGGCAGGAAAGTCTGTGAAACTCTTATCTCTAAGAAACCTCCAGAAAACGGGAAGTAGCGCTGTAGCTCAAGTGGTAGAGCACTAGTCTTGAGCTGAAGAACTGAGGGACAACGTCCAGGCCCAGAGTTCAAGCCCCACAACCACCAAAAAAAAAAAAAAATTGTACAAAAGAGCTTCCATTTAACAAAGCAGTTTATGAATACAGTGCATCTTAGTCAGTGTTATTCCTTTCAACATTCACACCCATCCCGTTCCTATCCACCCTTTCCCTCACTCTTCTTAATTTTGTAGGATATACATTGACTTCTTGAAGGCATTCTTCCTGTCTCTAATCTTCATTAGCTACTCCTTTCCCATTGACCCTACCCCATCCCTTCCAAGTACCTGCTTCCTGGTGATTATTTTGTTGAACTTAGACTTTTCCTTTCTAAGGAATTATACTATTTGAGTTCTCCTTTGAATCTGCTATATTTCTGTTAATCCATTGTGTACACTTGCATAGCACCTAATATATTTACTTAGAAGTTGATAAGCTAAAAATTTAACGATTTTTTCCAAGTCTTACCATTTCTTTACAAATAATACAATATTATTCTTTCTAAAAGATGAGTACAATTTTATTGTGCATATGTACCACATTTTCTTGATCCATTTGTCCATTGAAGAGTATCTGGGCTGATTCCATGCCTTGGCTATCTCTGGTGGATAGTGGTGCAGTGAACATGGTTGTGCTAGTGACTGTTGTAAATTTTTTTAAAAGAATGAAGAAGAAAGACATTTTCATTGTTTTGAATCATTTCCATTAGAACTTTCAAAGGAAGAAAACGAATTTTATATTCCTACAATTAAATGGGGAATTGTGAAGATAGGTGATTGTACAGAGGCTACATGTAAATGTTTTAATTGTAATTCAGAGAAGATAAGGCTACTGTTTTCGGGGGGTTTTTGTTTTGTTTTGTTTTGCCAGTCCTGGGGCTTGAATTCATGGCCTGGGCACTGTCTATGAGTTTCTTTTGCTCAAGGCTAGCACTTTACCACGAGCCACAGCACCACCTCCAGCTTTTTCTGACTAGTTTATTGACAATAAGAGCCTCACAGACTTTTCTGCCTGGGCTAGTTTTGAACTTGATCCTCAGATCTCAATCTCTTGAGTAGCTAAGATTATAGGAGTGATCCTATTCTCAGTATCTATGATCAGCTTAAGGTTACTATTTTGATGTATATTTCCTGAGATTTCTTTAAACTTTCAACTTGCTCACAGTTTTTGTTATTGGTGTATTTTTTCTTAATAATAACTGATGGTTTTATTATCATGTGACTGACAAGATAAGAACCTTTAAAAATGGTGAGTTTTACAAGATCAACAAAAAATAGGAAGCTCTTCATTCGACACTTTTTGTGCAAGGGTCGCCACAGTACAAGTCAGGAACTTTAGTACTGGAAATTTTCTTTTTTCTAGCCAACAAGAAGAAAGACGTTTTTGGAAAAATACTAGGCTCATAGGATGAATAGAAAGAAAAGCTGACCAAACTTCAATGAGGTAAAACCATGAGGTAAATGCCTCTGAGAGAGCCCTTTTCACTAGCTCATTACAGACATGTGTCCGATGATTTCCCAATGCCCATCTTTCCACTTGAATGTAAATTTTCTGAGAAATATACTATCAGAGTGAACATGATGTTGGGAGGAAAATTTTCTGCTACTATTCCTATTTTCAGCAAGGTGAATGGAAAAGGGATTTTTCTTTTTTAACATACTTGGGGCAGTATAAAAAAACTTTGGAACAAGACTAATTGAAGTCAGTGAGGTATAATTATAATGATAGAAAATATTTGTTGAATCTTTGCAGACCCTATGTTGAGTATTTTATGCCCATTAGCTCATTTAATTCTACTAAAGCTTTATGAACTAAACATTGTAGTGTATTTCACATTAAAAGAAAAAGAAAAAGAAAAGAAAACCATTGCTTAACTTGGCCAGGTAATGTAAGCTAAAGAGACATAAGTAGAAGGCTATTATAGTAATTTAAGGCAAGAAATTGGTAAGGGCCAGAATTAGATTTGACAAAATGATATGAATGTAGCCATGTGGGTTTATGTCTGGGTCTCCTGTTTCTTTGATCTTCTGATCTGTTTTTTTTTTTGTACTAGTATTATTTTGTTTTTGCTACTATGGCTCTGTATTATAAAGTCTAATATTGTGATAATTCCAGCATCAATCTTTTAGGATTGATTTCTCTATTTCTGGAAAGGATGATATTGGGCTTTTGATGGGAATTATATTGCAACTGCAGGTTGTTTTCCATGTTCAGTATCCATGAACATGGAAGATATTTTCACCTTCTAATGTCTTCATCAGTTTCTTTCCTTAAGGTTTTATTTTTTTGTTTGTTGAAATCTTTCATCTGCTTAGGTAAGTTTATTCCTAGGTGTTTTGGTTTTTGAGGTTATTGTAAATAGAGTTCCTGATTTCTTTTCTGTTCATGATTGGTTTGTAAAAATCTACTGACTTTTGTATGTTACTATATCCCGATATATACACACAGTAAACACTGTTTGGTGAAAATCAGGTATTGAAGTCTCCCACTGTTAGTGTGGTGGGTCTGTCTATGCTTGACTGTTCATTAATATTTATTTCATGAGATTGGGTATGCTTAAGTTTTGCACATGTACCCTGAACAATAGTTATGCCCTCTTGGTGGATTGTTTCTTTTATAATATGAAGTAATCTTTGTTATTTCTAATTTTGGTTTGAAGTCTTTTATTAGATAGAATGTAGCTACTGTTTTCCTGGAAAATTTTCTTATCCATTTTTGTACCCTAAGCCAATGTTTATCTTTGTCAATGTGATGCATTTCTTTTAGATATCAAATGGCCAAAACTTCCCTTTAATCCACCATTCTATATATTTTAAGCACAGAATTAAACCATTAACATTCAGTGTTATTACTGAAAAGCATGTAGTAGTTTTATTAATTTGCTGGATTTTGTGATGATTGCTACTTTTCTAATCTTTATTTATTTATTTATTTTGGTCATAGGGCTTGAACTCTGGGCCTGGGCACTGTCCCTCAGCTCTTCAACTCAAGGAGAGTGTTCTGCCACTTGAGCCACAGAGCCACTTTGGTTTTCTGGTGTTTAATTGGAGATAAGAGTCTCATAGACTTTGCTGCCCAGGCTGGCTTTGAACCTCAGTCCTCAGATCTCAGTCTGCTGAGTATCTAGGATTACAGGTGTGAGCCACCAGCGCCTGGCTAATCTTTATTTTTTAATCTATTTATCCATTCTTCCTGTATTTTCCTTATAATGTAGCTCTTCCTCTTCTGTGATTAAGACTCCTTTCAATATCTTCTGCAAATGATGGTTTGGATCACAAGTTCCTTAAATTTTGCTTATTTTGAAGATGTTTAGTTTTCCTGCAATTATGAAGAATAAGTTTCTGTATAGAGTAATCTACCTTGACAGCTCTTTTTTTTAGGGCTTGGAATATATCACTCCATGCCCTCCTTGCATTTAGAATTACTTCTGAAAAACATCTATAGTTATTCTGATCAGATTTTCTTTTCTGTGTGACTTATACTTCTGTCTTGTATATTTCAATATTCTTTCATTTTCTGTATATTTAATGTTTTAATTATAATATGTCTAATGGTGTTTTCTAATTTTTCCTTTTTTTATTAAAGCCATCTATACCTGGATGACTCTCAAGACTGGGAAATATTTCTGCAATTATTTCATTGAATATATTTTGTATACCTTTAGCTTGTATATCTTTCTTTTTCTTTTTTCATGATTTATATATTTGGTATTTTCTATAGTGTTCATATGCCTGTCCATTTATATTTTTTAAATATATTTTTGTCCTGTCATTCTAACCTAATTCCTCTACTTCATATTTAGTTACTGATACTCTGTTATCAACTTTTTCATTCTATTAGTAAAGTTTATAACTGACTTTTTAATGTGATTATAGAGCTTTTGATTTCTAACTTTTTAATTTGATTCTTAAGGCTTTCTATATCGTTACCTAATTCTTCTTCATATTCTTCTCTGTCTTCTATTTTATTGAGCTATTTATTGGAATTCTCCTTGAATTTATACATGCTTCTACACGTCTAATTTCTTTCCTGAGATAGTCAATACAATGCATTTTTAAAACTCCCATGATTTGGCTGGGCACTAGTGGCTCATGCCTGTAATTCTAGCTACTCAGGAGCTTAAGATCTGAGGATCATGGTTCAAAGCCAGCGTGGGCAGGAAAAATTAGTGAGACTCTTATCTTCAATTAAACACCAGAAAACTAGAAGTTGCGCTATGGCTCAAGTAGTAGAGCACTTGCCTTGAGCTCAAGAGCGCAGGGACAGTACCCATGCCCAGGCACAGAGTTTAAGACCCACAACCAACAAAAACAAACAAAAAACAAAAAAACTTGCATGACTTGTCAACAAGCTATTCTTGCATCTTTTTTATCTTCCCTCCCTCCCAAGGTCTTCAGGTTCTTATTTACCTTGATAAAGACCATGTGCTACTTACCAATACTTATTAGGCATATAGCCATTCTACTTGTCCTGACTGTCAAGTTCCTTCTTGCCCTAAGATCATCATACTTAAATGGAATGTTCTTTGTCAAGAACTTGTTACAACTTTTTCTCCTTTCCCATTATTCCTGTTTGATGTTAGTTGCTTAAAGCAGCTTTTCCTGAGCATTCTTCCAGACTATGTTAACAGCACCCCTGCTGCCTTTACAATCACAATAACCTTTCTTTTTATCATTTACATGCTTTGCTCATTTGTGAGTAATTTATTGTTATTCACATTGTCTATATCACAAATTCCTTGAGAGCATGGATTGTCTCAAGAGAACAGGCTTAAACATATATAAATTCAGTAAGTATTGAAAGTTTAGAAAGTCCTACATACTCAAAAAAATAAGTTCTTAGTAACTTAATATAACAAGATATAAATTAAAATATATATACATAAGTTTTTGTAGGTCACACAGTTGCAAAAATTCTTAGTATTTTTAATTTTGCCATTTCGTATTTTAGAAATGGAAAATCTGGACATAATTGTTTAACCTGAGGAAGAGTTCATCTTTAGTAATTACAAATTCCTAAATTGTTTTCTCTTTTAAAGGCTCAATCTCAAGATATAGTTCCAACAATAGGATTCAGCATAGAGAAATTCAAATCATCCAGGTAATATACTTTATCCTTGTGACTAAGCTCTATCGGTTACCTCTCCTACTTTTAGAAAAATTAATTTCTTTAGAAGCCTATATGTATTAATATTTTTGTAACTACCTCTAATTTATTTTTCAGTATGTAAATGACATATCAAAAATTCATTTTTAAAACTCTTGAATATTGGCTCTCATTCATGATCAGATTGCAATGGTTATTTCTTTGAAAAAAACTTAAAATATTAAGTAAAAGTTATACTCTGAGTTAGTAACCTAGATATATTTAGTGGTCCATGCTACTGGATCACTTCTTGATGTCTGCCTTAGCCAGAAGCAAGACTCTGTGTGAAAAATAATAAAGTTAAGGGATGGTGATAAAATGATAAGATCAATGCCTACCACTAAAGTTATAGCCCTAGTTTAAACCCCAGTTGTGCTAGAAAAAGTAAAAAAAAAAAAAAAGAAGAAGAAGAAGAAGAAAGGAAGGTAGAGAAAGTGAGGAAATGGAAGAAGGGAAATGAAGAGAAGGAGAGGGGGAGAGGAGGGGAAAGGAGGGTAGGAGAGAGGAGGGGAGGGGAGGAGGGGAGGGAAGGGAAAGGAAAAGTTAAGTGGTTAAGATGTCATGCTTTGCTTCTTCTTTTCTTTAGTTTGTCTTTTACAGTGTTTGACATGTCAGGTCAAGGAAGATACAGAAATCTCTGGGAACACTATTATAAGTAAGTACATTTGTGAATGCTATTTAACTACATGGCTATGTCTTAATAACAAAAATCAGAAATCCAGGTGATTATATGGACTGAGTTTTAATTTTTTCTGTTGTTTGTATAATTTAAGCACATTTCCTAATTGAGAACAATATTTACTACTACTTCACATTGTTTCTCAAATATTTAAGTTGCTTCATAATATTCCTGTGTGTACAGTCTCTGTTTTATTATCTTTTTTTAAATGATACTTCATTGGCTAATATGGCTAATATGTCTGTTTTAAGCACCAGCTCAAGTTTGGCATGATGATGTTGACCTGTAATCCTGGTCCTCAAAAGCCTGAGACAGGAGGATTTTAAGTTCAAAGCCACCCTAGGATACATAGTATATTAGAAGCCAGTCTGGGATACATAGCAGAGACTCTGCCTAGGAAAACAAAGCAACAGTAATAGTAACAAAAAAGAACAAGCTCAGGAAGTGTAGAAGCATAGGAGGAAATTATATGAGTGACAAAACAGGAATGAGGCTGTCAGTCACAAAAAAAAAATTGAGTGTTTAGGAGAATCAAAGATATATTATTTTTTCAGACATTTATCTAATTAAACCCAACTTACCATGAAATAACTACTTCGGTTACTTGATTGCTTAATCTGTATAAATACTTCTTAATTTTTAATTTGTTTTCATCAAGATTTATTTGGGCAAATTATGAAGCTAGTTATTACAGTAATGATACAAATATTTTATAACTTTTTAACATTAAGTATACCCCTATTAAATGTGTTTGTACATGTAAAACCAAAACAAAACAAACCAGGTGTAACTGGCTCACATCTATAATCCTAGCCATTCAAGAGGCTGAGACCTGAAGATTGTGGTCTGAAGCTAGCTGAAGCAAGAAATTCTATGAGGCTCTTGTCTTAATGAACCACCAAAAAGCCAGAAGTGGAGCTATAGCTAAAGTAGTAGAATGTTAGCCTTGAAAGGGGTGGAGATGGGGGTGGGGCAGGAATTAGGAACAGTACCTAGGCCCTGAGTTTAGATAAACAAAAGACAAACCAATTTAAAAGTTTCCTCATCTGAGGTTATACTGTGTCTTCATTTATTCAGTCTGCAGTGCTTGCAAAGTGTTTTGTTTTTTCCCCTCTGTAATCATATGCACTTTGCCTTAAAGTCAAACACCCCTAGGTTCTCCCTTCTAGGATTGTAAACTCTAGAAAAGAAGTGTATTCAAATTTTTTCTTCAAGGCCAAATATGATGCTTAACCTCTGGAACAGAAATAATATTGACCAAGTTTAGTTAAAATCACACCATCTGTAACTTATGGTTTATTCTGTGAATAGTTCCAAACAAAGTACTTTTAAGTACATAACAAATCAAGTGCTCACTAATTACTTCAGATTGAGAGCTGTTACTTACATCCAGGTATGCCTTCCCAAGATTTGCACTTAATGTTAAAATAATCTCATTAACTTCTAAGGTTGCAAGGATTCCTTCATTTATGAGAGTGATGTTCAAAAGCAATATTCCTTTTTAAATATTTTTATTGTGAAGATATTATACAAAGGGGTTACAGTTACATGAACAAGGTAATGAGTACATTTCCTCTTGAGCCTTGTTACCCCCTCCTTTGTTTTTTCCCTACCATCCCTTCCCTCCCCACCTCCCTAGCTTCTCTCCCCCCCCCCCCCCACAAGTTGTAAAGTTCATTTTCAACATAGTGTCTTGTATGTCTCATTGTTACAATGGGTCAACCCGTATCCTTGTTTCAGCATTTTGTTATCCCTTCTCCTTCCCAAATTAGAAAAATGTATATACAAGATGCAGGACACCAGAATCAAATACAGTGACAGCAGGGGTTATACCATGGGGGGAAGAACATACAAAAGAACATACAAAAAAATCACATAGTACATTCAAATCAACAACAACAAAGATAAAATCTCTTGTGTCCCTATCTTGGGGTTCATTTTGCTTAGCATCCTCTCATATGGTCATATGTACATAGCTTTTGACCTTTTCTGCTTGTCTGGTAATATTATCCTAGACATATACTAGTTATTGCAAATAAGGGAAACTATGGGACATATGTTTCTTTGGGTTTGGCTTACTTCACTTAATATAATTTTTTCCATGTCCTTCTACTTCTTAACAAATTGGGGCACTGTCATTCTTTCTGATGGAGGCATAGAATTCCATTGTATATATACATATATATGTGTGTGTGTGTGTGTGTATATATATATATATATATACACACACACACACACAATATTCTCTTGATCCATTCACCTACTGAGGGGCATCTGGGTTGGTTCTATATCTTAGTTATCTTGAATAATGCTGTAATAAACAGTTGTGCTGGTAACTTTAGTATGGCCTTGTTTGTTTTCCTTTGGGTAAATGCCCAGAAGTGGGATTGCTGGGTCATAGAGGAGCTCTATTCTTGATGAAGCTCCTTTTATTATTATGAACTATCATGAAGTGTCTACCAGATTAGATTGAGTACCATTTTCCTGCTAATTTAAGAGCAAATATTATATTCCTAAAATATCAATCAGAGGAGATTGACTCAAGAAACTTTGCAGTGAGTACTTTAATAAATCTTACACCTGTTTAAATCATGTTCATCAGTGATCCTTTTATGTACAGGAAAGGAAGGAGAGCTCTTCAGACTCAAAAGTTGTGTTTAGAAATGGAAAACTGATTTGCTAGTGTGTATTCTTCATAGATGTGAGGCTTTTATTTTTATTTATTTTCATTTTAGGAAACTTGAGCTTCTGGAACATGACATTTACATTCTTCTAATTAATTGATAGGTATTCCTTCTTAAAACAATATGATTTGCTAGTTTTTTTAAATATTTTAAGGACATAGCAAAAATACATGGAAAATGTACTTCAAAAAATTCTTTTTGTTCTAATTTTTACTCTTTAAAATATTTTTGAAAAATTTGAGGAATCCTAAGTTTAAATTCTAAATTAAATGATAAAATGATTGCAATTGAGAAGTTTGTCATAGTACTAAATTTATTTTATATATATTTTCTAACACTGAAAAAATAAGTGCATATTTTAATCTATTGAAAAAGATTTAAAAAGATTTATAATGTACTTTTGTGTTCATTTTACTTTTAGTGTCAAAATAAAGTACTCTGTTGAGAATGTAGTACCTTTTTTCAACATCATTTGTCAATATTTTTTAAAATTGAAAACTGCTTATATTACTTAGTAAGTATTTTAGAAAAGTGACCTGTAACTAGAACTGTTAGGTTAAGATATATAGAAGAATGTGTGGTAGCACATACCTTGACTATGTCAAGAAAAATACTCTTTATATAAATAAATGCTTCATATGTGTACAAAAACAAAATTGTTAGAATATGTACCAAACATTTGATAGCATTTGTTTTGGAATAATAGAATTTTAAGGGATTATTTGTAAATTTATTTTGTTTTGTAATGTTAAATACTGTATACTGTAATTTTTATGTTAGTTCTACTCTAGAAAATAAGGTACAGCTGGGCGCCAGTGGCTTATACCTGTAATCCTAGCTACTCAGGAAGCTGAGATCTGAGGATCACGGTTCAAAGCCAGCCTAGGCAAGAAAAGGCCAATAAAGCACTAGAAAACCGGAAGTGGCGCTGTGGCTCAAGCAGTAGAGCACTAGCCTTGAGCTGAATTGCTGAGGCAGCGTTCAGGCCCAGAGTTCAAGCCCCATGACTGACCCCCCCCAAAAAAAATCTAAAAAAAGAAAGAAAGAAAAGGTACAAAATGTAAGCACAGTTTATTATTAGTAGTAGTAGTAATAGTAGTATCTTTAAGTAGTTGTACAAAGAAGTTCCCATTCTACAAAATAGTATATGAGTACAAAGTGTCTTTACAACATTGTCACCCATCTCTTAAAGTTTAGAGCATGTTAAAACTAATATTCTGAGCTGGGAAGGTGTCTCAGTGGTAAGAGTGCTTGCCTTGCATACATGAGGCCCTGAATTCGATTCCTCACCACCACATAAACAGAAAAAGCAAGAAGTGTCACTGTGGCTAGCCTTGAGCTGAAGAGCTGAGGGACAGTGCCCAGGCCCCGAGTTCAGGCCCCATGACTGGAAAAAAAAAAACCACCAAAAACAAAAACTTATTCTATTTCATAAATACTGCTCATAAATTCACCATTGTTAATCTTCTTGACAATGGTCATTTTGAAATATACTAGTACCTAATGTGAATCCCTAAAGAGAATGGAGACATTTAATTAAGTACTATAAATAATTTTATATCTTGCTTTTCTCAGTTAACATTCAATTATATAGATATTAGGTAAAAACATTATGAATATAATTAGTGGCTGCCTAATTTTTTCTCGTGCAGCTCTGTGCCAGAATTTGCTCAAACATTTCTTTATTTGTACATGAACATCATTTTAGTTTTTAAAGATTATAAACACTTATCTAGTTATTATATATGTAAAGCTTAGACATAGTTCATGTTTCTTTAGAATGAATTCCATAAATAAAATCACTTATACAAAGTGATTAAACTCTTTTAGAGCTCATGGTAAATATTTCCAGTTCTACTGGTTTCTGTATCTACTAGTAATTGTGGCTTTCTTAATCCATATTACCATTTTTTAAATAATAGGAGAAATTGGTATTTTTAAAGTTTGTGTTATTTTTATTAATTTGATTGCTAATTACTAATTTCTTTAAAATATGCATTTATGATTAGATAAATAAATAATTCACAAAGTGCAGATGTCCAAAAATTATACAAAAGGTAATGAGCTTCATTAGCAATTAATGATATATAGAACAAAAGTTTTTTGCTTTTAAAAGCCAAAGGTTTAACAGATAGTAATAACTAGAAAAATACTTCTGTCATGTGAATTGTTTTATCACTTCTGGAAGACTCTGTTAATGTTTATCTGAAAACTTTAAAGTTTGTCTATTTTTACTCTTATGAATAAACTGTAAAGTACCAAGAAGTTTATAAAGAAAACTATGTAGGTTATTGGTCTCAAGATTTTTCATGAGATAAATCTTGAAATAAAACTCAAGTATTGTTTTCAGGAGACATTTGAAATGTATTTACATGCTTGTATGTCTACTGCTTTCATTGTAAAATGTATTTCTGATTATGATTTTTGGTTTAAAAAGTATTTGAGAAGCAATGTTGTTAGACCTTAGTGTTTCACATAAAAGTATAGTTCAAAGTATATTCCCCCAAATTGAAGTAAATGTACATACAAGAAAGACAAGATGGGGCTGGGAAAGTGACTCAGTGGCAGAGCGCTTGCCTTGCATGCATGAGGCCCTGGGTTCGATTCCTCATTAGCAGAAAAAAAAAAGCTGGAAGTGGTGCTATGGCTCAAGTGGTAGAGTGCTAGCTTGAGCTGAAAAGCTGAGGGACAGCACCCAGGCCCAGAGTTCAGGCCCCACGACCAGACCCCCCCACACACACAAAAAAAAGAAAGACAGGATATGAAACAAAATAATTCCATTTTAAAATACAAATACAGATATTCATTAATAAATGTAAAGTACCAATTAGTTGATACAATTTACTGAGTATTATTTGTACCAACTATGATATTTGTACTAGAGGTTTATATGCTAGATGTCTTTATTTTTAAACTTTTTCCCATCTTTTAATTACTTAAACAAAAACTGACTTCTTTTAAATTTTATAAAGAAATAACAAGTGATTAAATATACCAAATCATCATTTACATAAAGGATTTTATATGAATATAAGTAATGGTTAATATCTTAGTCATGTAGACAAAGAAGAAAAGTGAATCTTCTAATAACAAATGCACATAGGACGTGAAGTAATTGTACCTAATGCAAATGAAAAATTAATATGCAAATTTTTTAAGTTTTCACTTTCTTTGTATTACACAGAGATGGACAAGCCATTATTTTTGTCATTGATAGTAGCGATAAATTAAGAATGGTTGTGGCCAAAGAAGAACTTGACACTCTCCTGAATCATCCAGGTACATTTGTGGTTTCCTCTCATCTGTCAAATTTGAATTGGGTACATTTATATGTGATGTTTTACCTGTATTAAATAAAAAAGGGTGTGGATGTTATCTTTTATATAAACTTCTGAATTTTAAAACATATTAGTTATACAACATTTATAACAGCTTAACCCCATACCCAAATATTTTGTATTTCAAAACATTTTTGCAATATATTTGAGTACTCTAATATTTCCTCAATAATGAAAACTCCTTTTTTTCTGATTTTTTTTTTTTTTTGGGGTCTGGTTGTGGGGCCTGAACTCTGGGCCTGGGC